TTTCAGATCTCTTTTAGAGCCGAAAAGTTCCTTTCATTGAAAAGGAACCAATTTTCAGATCTCTTTTAGAGCTAAAAAGTTCTTTTCATTGAAAGAGAATGAATTTTTGGACACTTTTAGATCTGAAAATTTGTTCCTTTCATTGAAAAGGAATAAATTTTTGGACTTTTTTAGAGCTAAAAAGTTCTTTTTATTGAAAAGGCATTTATTTTCAGACCTCTTTTAAAGTTGAAAAGTTCCTTTTATTGAAAAGAAACTAATTTTCAGACTTCTTTAAAATTGAATATTTGTTTCTTTTCATTGAAAAGGAATGAATTTTCAGATCTCTTTTAGAACTGAAAAGTTCCTTTCATTGAAAAGGAACTAATTTTCAGATCTCTTTTAGAACTGAAAAGTTTCTTTTATTAAAAAGAAACGAATTTTTAGATCTTTTTTAGAGCTAAAAAGTTCCTTTTATTGAAAGAAAACGAATTTTCAGACCTCTTTTAGAACTGAAGAGTTCCTTTCATTAAAAAGAAACGAATTTTCAGACCTCTTTTAGAGCTAAAAAGTTCCTTTTATTGAAAAGGAACAAATTTTCAAAACTCTTTTAGAGCTGAAAGGTTCTTTTCAATGAAAAGGAATGACTTTTTAGAACTCTTTTAGAGCTGAAAAGGTTCTTTTCATTGAAAAGAAACATTTTTAGATTTCATTTAAAACTGAAAATATGTTTTTTCAATAAAGCTTTCAGATTCAGATCAGATCAGATTTAGATTCAAACTGATCTGTCAGATCTGGATTTGAGATTTGATCCGTTAGATTCAGATCAGATCTAAATTTCAACAGATCTATCGAATTCAGATCAGATTCAGATTCTGAAAAATGAAAATCAGATCAGATCAGATTTGGATAAAATTTGATCTGATCTGAATTTGCGGAACACTAATTAGAAGCATACATGTTATTCTCTTTTTTGTCATACTGCCTTCTATCTCCTAAATATTATTGTCATAGTTATACACTATTATAGAACAATAGATTAGTTAGTAATTAGAGTATAGGTGTGATAGTTCTAAATAGTAGTCTATTCATTGCTATTGGTAATGTTGTTCCTTGAGAACTTTCATTACTTCCTTGAAAAAGTGCAATGATAGTATCATTTTGATTCCTTTTTATATTTTCTGAAGTATCACTACAATTACTATTTGTAATTGAGCTGATGCTGTTAATGCTTTCAATTTCTTACAATTAGAATTGTTTTGTTTTTATTCAGAAATAATATAATTTGGCTATGCTATCAAAGGATTCCTTTAATATATTATTTTTGTATCTAATTATAGTAACAATTTTTCTCAATAAATATTTTAATAAGCGATCTCTTTTCAAAAAGCTGAATTTACTTTCTTGGGCCCTTATAAAATATATTATAGTGAAGGTGATATATAATATAATGTTATATTTAAATGCAATTCATAAAAACCAAAAATTATCAAAAGATAGTAAATTTCCTGACTGAATTTCATAATCTGGGTGATACTATAGATAGGATTAATCTAGATAGGTAATGAATAAGATCTTATAGTTTTAAGTTCCTTATAAGCTGCTATGTATTGTTGAACTATTTATAGGTATTGTTCTTTAGTAATGTGATCAATATTAGATTTCTTCAGATTTATTAAGATCTGTCGTCAAAGTACTCATTACTAAATACTAATTTGTCCTATGTAGTCTTAACTTTATGAAATTCAATGAAATATTTTAGATCATTAATATTACTTTATAAACATTTAAGATGATTAATTAGAATGACTTCTTCATTTTCTAATGATTAATATTAAAAATTGGATCTCAGAAACTCACAACTGAAGTTAGAAAAGAATAGACCTTACAGCTATTTTAATTGTTTAAGTATTCTTTGCATATATATTATTTGTTAGATTGGTTTTTAATCCACCTAATCTGCACTAAATTGTTATCTTACAATATTAATGACTGAAAAATTAATATTAATACAAGATTAACAAAGAATTCAGTTTTACATTGGTCAAAATCAAAAAAATCAGACATGCAAAAAATTGGCCTAAATTTGGCTTAAATTTGGCAAATTATCAAAAAATCAACCTAGCCGATTAGCATACACTAGAAATTAGCCTAAAATCAGCTAAAATTCGACCTATCTTATTTATAGCTGATTGGCATACTTATTGCTGTTTGATATATGTCAAAAATTTGACATATCTTATTTATAGCCGATTGATATCCGATTTACATCTGATTGATATACATCAAAAATCGGCTAAAATTTGACCCATCTTATTTATAGCCAATTGACGTCTGATTTACATCCGATTGATATACATCAAAAATTGGCTAAAATTTGACTTATCTTATTTATAGCAGATTGGCATACTTATTGCCGTTTGGCATATGTCAAAAATTGGCTAAAATTCGACCTATCTTATTTATAGCTGATTGATGTCTGATTTACATTCGATTGATATACATCAAAAATCAGCTAAAATTTGACTTATCTTATTTATATGATTGTCATACTTATTTCTGA